GAAATAAGAGGCCTTTTTCTTAATCAGTATTATATAAGCCATTGAAGACCAAGTGCTCAGATAGAAGAAGAACTTCCACGCGCTCTCTGGCATCTTCTCGGCGTCCGGTTTACACAATGCATAATAACAGGCGATTGGCTATTGATTTGTAACCAAAATGACAACATTATTAAATATTTATGTATTAATAAACAAATATATCTTTTTATGGATATTTATAAATCTAATGTTTTGTTGTAAAGTTTTTATTTTATTTAAACAAGTATTAATTTTAGAAAAATTATTTAATTTGGAAAACAGTTTTAGAAACAATGCAATTAAATTATATGTTTTTACTTGATGTGTTTTTTTAAAAGTAAAAACTATATTTAATTATTTTGTTTGTGAAGTGAGAGGAAAACATTTTATTCAATTTGGTGAGAGAGAGACAGTGAAAACTGTTAAGTGATTAGCCATTGACTTTTGGTTCGGGTTTATTGACCCAAACGGTAGAGAGAGAGAGAGAGAGAGAGAGAGAAAATAAATGTATATGAAAGTAGCTTATAGTGTATTTCACTAGCTTTACAATTGGTTGCAATCAATGTATTTATTATGTTTACACTAAAACAACATTTCATTTAAAGGAAGACAATGTCTAATAAATTGTATACAATTTTAATTAAAAAGGAAACTAAAATAGCTTTTTCTCTGTAAACACTCTGCAATCATAAATATTTACTCGCATTTAGTGTACAATACCTTAAATATGTGTTTCGTGACCAGAAATCGTCCCAAAGTCCAGACAATGGTCAGCGCAATGATTACCGACACATCCCATAGTGTTATTCGTTCAAAACAAAACTTTATATCCTTTTGAAACTCATTCATCTTATAGTCCTTTAGAGCGACGATATTATCACCGAAATAGCGATAGGAATCGGCAAAGAATTGCACAAATCCTGGCGTTTCGCCACTCATTTCAACGTTTGCCACAATTGGCGGTGAATTTACTGCCGAAGACATTGTCGGCAAAGACGATGGAGAAGACATTTGACACTTTTTTGTGGATTTATTTATATGTACTCAACATTCAAGAACTCGATCTCATTTATGATATAAATATTTTTATACCAAAAAATATATCCACAAAAATGGGAATAAAATGAGCAAAAAATGAATGCAAATAACTATGTGTTGACACCAAAAACACACCGTCGATGTGACACGTCTTGGAAGGGAACCACTGGTTTAGACAAGAGTTTATGCGTTTCCTTCGCTCAACAAGTGTTTTGGTGCACTGGATATCAGGCCATAAGGTATAGCCAGCAGTACTACAGGTGTATGTAATTGTATGGAAAACTACCCCAAACCCCGGCATCCCATTCAGGAACGAGTTTTTGGCTGAGAAAAACTTTTCACTGCCTTTAAATTTCAAGTTCAAAGACATTTAAAGCATTGCATTCAGAGATACCAGCGATTTATTAATTTATGTAATACTTGGCTCTTAAAGCTAAACACTAATAATACACGTCTTATATATAATATCTAAGGGAAAACATAAAACCAAACGAGTCCTTCATTTCAATGGCCTTTCAATACCCGAATCATCAAAATATTTTATTTTTCTCTATGTTTTCGTTTTGGATCTATTGAATAATGTTTATAAACTATAATGAGGTTATTATTATTGTATAAAGATTTGCGTTTATTCTTTCATTATAGACATTAATGGCAATCTTATTATTGATAATATAATATACAATACATTAATAGCGGATATACCTAATGCTATAGACATAAAAGACAAGCAAACTAACGGTTTGAACAAACAGTACTCAAAGTTTTATTTTTGTCCACAATATTATCGATAAACAACATATTTGTTAGTCTTTTTCACTCAATGGATAATAACTTATTGTGAATATAATAATAAGGTGTTTTCAATTGGTTTGCATTTGAACGATGTAAAAGAAAAACCAAACATTATTTCAGAGTAGCCATAGACTATACATAGCCAGAGGTGACCACTGGAGACCACACCTCCCGTCGCCCACAGCCTTGAAGAGTCAATCGTAGAGTTGTCTTATTTTAAAGAAATTTTAAAATGTATTTTTTTTAATATTTTTTCTAAAATAATTTTATTTTAAATGTGCTAAATATTTAGCAAAATATAAAACTCGGTCTTTAAATAGAAATTTAACCATGTTATAAATAAATATCACATTTATTACATAGTAACTCATGACTTCATAATTATTACTCAATATATTTCTGTCATTTTTTGTTCAATTTCATTGAATACATTAATTTGTATTTAATTAAAACCCAAAATAATTCATAATTGTTTCCATTGAAACCAAAAGAGCGTTGAAATAGCAATCGGACGCTAACTCCCGATAAACACGTGCTTTTGTCAGTGTATTTACGCCACAAAATGACCACTTAATCCTATTATATGTCACAAATCTGTTATTGATTTAAAATCACAGCAATCAATGCATACAATATAACTTAATATACAGTATACGTCTCTTTCTTCCTTCTTTTTCTGCGGATAATTGTTTTAATAACCAATTATTTAACAAAATTTTTTAATGAAATTTATTAATTTTTGTAAAACATTATTTTTTATAAATAGTAAGTTATTGTTGAAATTAAATGTTAACATAGGTTTTATATTTCACTTTCAACGTATATTCTTCAGGTATCGTTTCGTAATAATAAAAACCATTAGGAATTATGTATTTACTATGAAATGCTACACATTATGATAAGCCTATAATCCGGTTCATTTGCCCACTCATTGCCTCTTAATTCAATCAATTAATTGAATTCTTATATTTCATGAAATACAAGAATTCAATTAATTAAACATTGTGTGCATATAATCTACACAACNTATGATAAGCCTATAATCCGGTTCATTTGCCCACTCATTGCCTCTTAATTCAATCAATTAATTGAATTCTTATATTTCATGAAATACAAGAATTCAATTAATTAAACATTGTGTGCATATAATCTACACAACATGTTCCCGATCAACGGACCATAATGCAGTAAATAATATATTTTCATTTAAATATATTTACCATCAAAAATAAATTTTGATTAATAATATTTATAATATGAATTAAATTGTATAATCATATTGTCTGGTACAGCAATTATTAAAATACGGCTTATTTTATGTAAAAATACATATTAAGTATTAGTGAAGCGAAACAAATTTTTATTCATTTATACGAATTGTTAATTCTAATCAAAAGTTGAATGAATTTCACTCTTTCTTTAAATTAATTAGATTTTCAAAACAATTTCGCATTTGAATAGCATATAAGTTGTTGTGATTCACAAATTAACTCAATATATAATTAAAAATCATTACTGATTTACATGAATATAATTCAAAAGAGTTGTATTCATTAAATTTCAAGTAAAGCAACAAAACACTAAAAATGTAAAATAAGTTTTAAACGATTAATTGTGAATTATTTAAATGATAAATTTATGCATTTGGTTGGCTTCGACTAAATTTGCAATCAAATTGATAAATAATTAAAAATGATCAAATTCATGATCAATTGCACAAAATATAGCAAATCGTAGCGCAAACCTAATCATCAAATAAATTAAATATTAATTATATGCAGACTTTGATGCCATAATACAGTAATTAAATGTTATAATAGGCCTTGAATTCAGCCGAGAATTTGTTGTAGAGTGCAATCAATTTTGTTTTGTCACTTGAATTACAATAAATTATTGACAAATTTATAACAAACCATTGTATTATAAATTTAGTTTAATTAAAATTTCTTATTCGGATTAAATAGTGTTGGTGTGCACTTGGTCAAATTAAATACGACCAAACGCCTACAGGCAAATCATCCAGACATACTTAATACTGTATATTATTATTTATAATACATTGTATACTTATTAAGGGCACAGAAATTATATGATAATTATTTTATAAGAAGAAAGGATAGCGAAAGGCAAAAGTGGTTTTCAGTACTTGATGTTAGCCTTCTCTTCAGGACTGATAGTTCTCTAGTTCTTTAGTACTTAAGATTTTTATCAAGATTTTTGAACATTTGATCATTTGTTGAATTTTTTAAAAGTTTTTATTTTATTTGATTGACGTTATAATCATACTATTGTATTGCCATTTGCATTATAATAAAATTAGTTGACCACGTTTTCAGATATAGAAAATCGCTATTTTGTGTGAAAGTCATGTGTTTTGTTACATAAACACAGAATTTAGTGCAATTAGTAGTAAATGTTTAGTTTAAACTTAATTTGTCTATTAATTAATAATACCATGTATGAACATATCATACGTCATAACGTTATGTAAAACTTACAATAACATAACATTCATAAAAAATTTACCAAATGTTTCATATAATATAGAAATAATAAGTTATCTGTTTATCAATGAACAAAATTCCATATGAACATATCATACGTCATAACGTTATGTAAAACTTACAATAACATAACATTCATAAAAAATTTACCAAATGTTTCATATAATATAGAAATAATAAGTTATCTGTTTATCAATGAACAAAATTCCTGTTTATTTGCAATAAATATTTGGCATAAATACTATAATATTTACAAATGGCTTCAATTTTCAAAAATATTTACATTTATTATTTTACAAATTTAATAGGAATTATAGCAAAAAATAAATAAAATACATGCAAATCAAGTTAATCATAGTCATGTGTAAATTACTGAATTATAAAACAAACACGTTTTATTAGATAATTCTTATAATATTTGCCCTTCGTTTACATCTAAAATGAATTTAATATAAAATAATTTTTTAAAACAAAAAAATAAAACAAAACCAAATTATTTAAATTCTAGTAAACAGTGTGCTATCAATGATAGAGTGTCCACATCTAACACACAGTGAATAAAACTTGTAATAATAGCCTAAAACATTATAAAAGCCATTTTAATAATAAGAAATAACATGATGACATGGAATATTACCTACATTTTCTAGAAGATTTGTTTTTTATGTTTACTACTCTTTAGTTAGTTCGATAAAACTATATTTAAAATTTATGACCATCCTTATTCTGTATTATATAACATAAGCACATATTATGCACTATAATAGCACTGATAATTGTGACAATTGTGAGAATATTGGCTGCGAAACAAAGGGATGGAAAAGCAATTAATTATATGTTTGTGTTTATATAACATAATAATTATTATATAAATGACACGAGAAAATGACATAAAACTGACGCAACAATTCATTTGAAATAAATAATTGTGAAAATATATCATTTTTTATTGACGAAAATGTAGGTTTTAATACATAAGTAGATGCAAACAGACAACAAAAATAATAGTTATAACTTTTCCACATGAGAAAGCGTTTTGACACGAGTTTCCACTTCTTATCATTCATTATATGAAAGCATTGAATTTTGTGATGACTTGCATCGGAGATGACAATTGATTGCCAATAGCTAAACATGTTGTTACCAAACGTATACCAAATTATTATTATTATATCGTATAAGTTTTATATCAAATATTATTTATGCATAAATTGCTATTTTAAGCTAATTATTGTTGTCTAACCAATAGGTGCTCAGTATTACCCTATTGTCAACCACAACATGTGATAATTATATTATTGTTTGTTATGTTGTTTTTTAGAAATATTTTTAAATATTAATTTAATAATCGATTTTCTATCCAATCTCTATACCCGTACGCAATGTTTCTGACAAAGCATTTAGTGATCGCATCAAACATTTACACTAACGTTAGAAACCCAAGAGTACTTTGAAAACAGTGTATCCGTGCATCTGCTCAGTGAATGTTCGTTCAATTCTGGGTTTTTCTCATACATCGCTTCGACAGTATATATACCGAGACTCGACATCACTAGCGGTTCAATCATAGATCAGCTCAACTCGAGTACACTTTTCACTTGAAAAACTACTTTTTATTACTGTATTGAGAGTCAGAGAAAGTTGTATCCAATCTCTATCACAAAGTCTTATTATATTGAAAAATATTGTGAATTTGTTTCTTAACGAA